CAGACGTGCCGTCATTGCAGAAACTAGCAGATTCAGACGCAGCGCTAGTTTCGTACACATCCGAATAATTAGCGCAAAAGCGGTCACTACAGACGTTAAACAACGTACCTTGCTTCGTCGTCGCTTGAAGGAGTAGGTGGCGGCGTTCTAACACGCGCTGTACACTTTTTCTTGCTTCCTCCCGTCTTCTTCACAAGCTGCCGCTTGCGTTTCCCTTTACCCTTCGCATTCACAGTGCTTCAGCGAGGGGTTCTTCTTCGGTTTTACAGACGTTTTGCTGTGCGTGGTTGCTTGTGGAGTAGCTGCTTCCACGAATTCAGCGTCAGTGTTCCACATAGCCTCCACATTATCCACGTAGTCTTCGTCCATGTCGTCATCATCCTCCGACTCCATATTTTCTGCGATCTCAGCGTATTCCTCTGCGTAGAGTGCCGCCAGGGGGTGCCTTTCCACGAAGCTGGGGTGCCTTCGCCAGCATGTTGAAAAATGCAGGGAGGGCCCCTTTCCTGTGGGCCCTCGGCGGCGATGAGCTTGTCGCCACCGTCATCCGTGCGTGTCTTTTTGGAGTTGCTGGTGACTCTGGTGTCTCGTCACTAAAGTCTGCTTCACGCTCACGTGTGCCTTCGACGTATTCACGGTGCTCCCGCACGAGGCGCTCTCTCTCATGTCCTTCCTTGCCGTCCAGACGACGCAGGAACAACTCGGTATCGCGACGTGTAACTCTCCGCGGTGGCATGTTGGCTTCACTTGGGAAAATCAGGAATGAATGAGAGGCCAGCAGCTACCAAAGCATCGCATGTCCTGGCCATGAAATGGGGTGGATACATCGAACTTTCTTGTTACCGTTAAAACCCCAAGCCCTGTGCATAGAGCTACAAATTGATTCAATTGACCAGTTTATACCCATTTTCACATGCTTTATATCAAGCATGTGAAAATTGTCGCATGCTTACTTATCAAGCCTTAGTAACGGGGAAGATGGGTTAAGTTTGCCCAGTTTGCCCATTTCAAGCAAGAACAAGCACATTTGAAAGCTAGGAATTAGCATTAGTGGGCATGTACTAGGTAAACATCAAAAGTATGGATCGGTTGGCATGGAAGTATGTATTTGTGTAATTCCACCATTTGTGTTTATTCGTTCGAGTATATATGTTTATGTTAGGGTTTTAAGGAAATGCGAAGAATCATTCTATCGCAAAGCCTCTAAGTTTGGCGACAACTCTCCCAAATACAGTCTTTTGATTTGAAACAACATTTGTGAGAATACCTGCGAGCAAAATATTGCCAACACGGTTTTGAAGCCCTTGACAAGTATTTGTACAGCGAATGCTAGTACAATTGTGGCTGGATCTCATGTGAACCTAGATTTTATTTTCTTTTTTTGAGAGGCACATCATTCCATGATAGTTAGCCTAACATAAATTCGATGCCATATAATATATTCTGAAGTTTCTATACTTATATATAAATAATAATAAGAATAAATGAATTGATTGATACCACATTCAACTGTGAACGCACCAATCGAATTCATTTCATACTGATGCATTTATTATCACCACGATAGGTATTACTTCACAACAAAGACAACTTTGATATACGAAAGATATTTTTAGAGATTATCATTTTAATCATGCTCAGATCGCTGAGCGGGAATGAACGTTCGACTCAGGGTTCCGCCTCCGCTGCCTTTAGCATTCTGCACACCAGTCGATTGGATATGCATAACAACCGCTTGTCCAGGGTACGTTGCTCCTCCTTCTGGGATCGACATCATTGAAGATGCGGAGCTCTCGTTGGACGTACCAATTCCGGACGAAGTGTGGACTGAGTACCCTTGAGAGGAACCCGACGGTCCTACAATACTTGGCACAGAGTCCGACATATTACTGGATTTACCATTCTCAATCTTGAGCCCTTGAACTGCTTGAGCTAAGCTGGAACCAGACTCAGATGAAGTTGGCAGTGTGACGCCACTCGACAGAGATGTTTGGATGCTTGACGGTGGCCTTGGCGGTGCGCTCTGCTGCCGCTTCAACTGTGGTTCTCCATCTGACGATCCCTGAAAGCTTCTGGCTGTCCGGACTCTGGATCGATGCTGATTGAGAAAGCTCTCACCGAGAAGACCGGCTTCCGTATCCGTCATCAACACGTCCTCAGAATCTCCGGCGACGATTGTTCCCGAGACCGCTCGGACCTCGTAGTGAATCCCGTCCGTGAGCTTATTCCACTCAATGAATTCCACTGACAGAAGACATTGAATGACGTCAGAGTCTAAGCGAACTTGGTCAGACGAGGAGGCTCTAGTCCGGAACCACGTTGTTGAACTGGAAACCAGCTTCAAACAACAACGTCTGGAGTAACGCCGCGCATTGGTGGACTTCGAACAGGGCAGTCGGAACCTGAATATCCAGGATATCCTGGGCTGTTCCGAAACCCAGACGCGTGCCATTCAAGTCCGCGACCCACATGGCATCTTGACTTCCCAGCGTCGCTTGCTGCGTCAGGAAATCTGACGTAGTCTTTGCCGATTCAAGCCAGGCCGTGTAATCCGGAGTGTTTGCAGGCCACGCATACGCGGGACTCAGGGGAATGACTCGCCCTGAGGATGTCTGCTCCCATCTCCGAACTTGCTGCGCTACGTAGGCTTTCGCCATCGCTTCGACGTGCTCATGCGCGACTCGAGGTGCTGAGATCGCCAGAACTTCCTCGACATTTGAGACTCCGGCTCCAGGACTTTGATCGAAGGGACCTCCGGATCCCCCTGAACCTCGATGGGCTCAGTCTTCACCGGAGTTTTTCCTTCAGAGTCTGAGTCCTCACCCAGAATCTCCACAACTTCCACCGACGGCGTGGGTTCAGGAACGACCTCCTTCTCCTCGCTCGTCGGGGACTCAACCAAATTGA